CCCCCCCCCCCCCCCCACGCAAACCCACCCGCCCCCACTCCCTTCCCAGAGCCGGGGGGAACCCAGGAGTCCTGGCTCCCACCCCCTGCTCTAACCACCAGCCCCCACTGCCCTCCCAGAGCTGGGGGGAACCCAGGAGTCCTGGCTCCCACCCCCTGCTCTAACCACCGACGTCCCTCTCCCCTCCCAGAGCCAGGGGGGAACCCAGGAGTCCTGGCTCCCAGCGCCCCCGCTTGCTTGCATATATATATTTGGTTTATTGTAAGAGGTTTACAGATGTATATTAACGTACGTTCAGCTGTAACGCAAGGCCATATGCTGTATGTTAAGGTAAGGCAAAGTCAGCATCTATGTCAGGGCCTCTCCCCTAGACAGAGAACTGCACAGGGGGCTGCACGTCTGTACCCTCAGATTGAACCGCTACCCCACCAGGAAAGAACCGAAAGAACAGGGAGAACAACAGTAGCGTGTGTGTATGATCGACTCGTCATGAATAGGTCTGTACATGTCAGCGACACGCCAGCCTACGGCGTAAGGGGACCCTGACGTTTCTGTGGATGGGGAGCGGAGGAGGAAGGATTTCCGGCCCCTGTGGGGCCCCACCTCGCGAGAGAGGCTGGATTGGTTTTTCTTAAGCTCCCTATGTTCCAAGGGGCCGCGGCTGTGCTTGGCTTCCCAGAGCTTTTGCTCTTCATTTTGGGGGGTCGGTTTGGATCTTACGGTGAAGCGAGTTAAGTAAACTGGATATTCGTGTCGCTAGCTCTGAGCTCCAGCTCCTCCTCCGCTCTGCGCCTCTCGCTCAGGAACAGAGGACACTGAACGGCCAGGGGCGAGGCTGGGCCTGTCTCTCCCCACCGGGTGACCAGGGAAGGGGGGGAGTCGATGAACCAAAGCTTTGGAGCCTATAGTAGCCTAGTCCCAACATGGACCTTCTGACTAGCAGGAAAACAAAGGTAACTTTGTAAGTGGGAAATGTCCCCATTTCATTACTACTTCATTGTATCTGACTCAAAGGTCTTTAAGGCCGTATCGGTCTCAGTGGGAGCTTCCTGGCACAGCCCCGCGGGCTCCTTTGTAAACTCTGTGGAGCCTGATTCAGGACAAGAACCTTATTATCTTCGAATCAAACGGACTGGCGAGCCCAAAACCCGCATTATCCAACTTAATAATATTAACCTTATACATCAGGCAACACCTCCCAGAGCCGGGGAGAGAACCCAGGCGTCCTGGCTCCCAGCCCGCCCAG